ACATTAACCAAAATTAATAAATGCTGTAAAAGTATTGTTCATTGTTAGTTCATGATATTCAAGGCATTAGCTAACGGTAACCAATTGAACCTTTTTGTAAAGCGTTACCACATAAACGCACACACCTTAGTTGAATCCATCTCTATGTTTTGTACAGGTTGTTGCTCTGGGAACAGTTGGATCTCCTCAATGATGTGCATCATACCGGCTACATTCACAGCTTTCTGCAAACGTCCATCATCTGTCAAATCACAGAGCATAACATCAACAGCTCTTTAAAAAATAAATGAAATCACAGAAACTTGAACACTCAAAAAACCCACATACCTGTGCCGATGAACATCACATCGTAAGCTCCGTGGAGGCCTTGCACATAGTGCACAGCAATTTGTGTGTAGTGCACAGAGTGTGTGAAGAGCACTGGCTGACTTTTGACAGGACTGTCCATCAGGAAGTGGTCTTTCACAAAGTTTAGTACCTTATCTGGCATATCAAGGGATGAGTCTATTCCAAGCTGCCTTGAAGCATTAGTAATACACTGTAGAAAGGGAAAAAGATTCACAGAAACTCAAAGATCCTGCATTATAGAACTGTTAAAGTGTATATTTGGAGTCGGTGTCATCTTACCATTCCAGGTCGTGGTTCAGGTACAGAGTGAGTGTGTGTGTACCACTGCTGTGTCTCTCGATTCACCTCTTTGTAACGGCCAGAAAACGCTTTTTCTACCTGATCCATGCTGAACGCACACACTGCTGAACTGCCTGCTAGACCTTTACTCCTACAAAACATATAGCAACAAATTAGAAATAGTTTGAATAGACTGAAGTAGCAAAACATTTAATATTTGACTACTGTTTTATGAAATAAATGTTAAACGATTGACAATAATATCCAGTGATGCAAACTACTTGAAATTTTTCCTCAAATTTCACCATTTTGAATTGAAAATATGGTGTCATTTACGTGATGTAATTCCTAACAGAATGTGACAAGACATGAAACGTTTTGTTTTTTTTCAACATTGGGCATTCAAAAAAAAAAAAAAAAGTATGAATGTATGCATATTTTAAAATATTATTTGCAAATAGTTTAAAATGAAAAAAAAAAAATGAAAAAATTATTTATGATCAAATAATGAAAAACATCCCCTCCACTCAAGCTTATCTTCCCTAGCTCCTCTGCATTTTTTTTGCTCACCACTGAGAAGTGAAGACTGCATAGAGGAGTGTGTTTTTCTTGCGTTGGGCTGGAAGCACATATACATCTTGTATGATGTTGAAAGGAAAGCCATCGTCCGGTAGCAAACACAAGAGTTGAGCTTTCAGAAATGTGGTCCATTTCTTCTGCAGGACTCTCTCTCCACCTTGATCCTCCTGAGGCCATACACACAAACAAATGATGAACACTTTCAAACAAACATACAGTCTCAATAATTTATAATACTCTGAAAGACCACTAGGGGGCATCAGAACTCCAGTCCTGGTTTCAGAGCATTTGGACAAAAATAAAGACAAAAAAAACTGTTGTGGTACCATAGTACAGCATCAGATAGTGATAACATGATACTGAATGATTATTATATTCATATACAATAGTATTTATATAATTCTCCAGGGTATCTCAAAGAATAATACCATAGTACATGTCTAAAACAATTATCATGGTACTCCCATGGGTTTTAGGGAGCATCAGGGAGCGGGTCTGTCGCAATAATCAATATATCGACTTATCGCGCAATATATGTACACGACCTCAATAATTTTTGGTGACGCAATATATCGCCCATTATATTTACTTAAAAAGTAATGTCACCATGTTTTGTACATTCCACTTGCGCCTGTGTCTTTTGCAGCTTCTCGAACATAACGTGGTGTAGTCATGAGGTGCTAGTTCAAACTTTAAAAAATGCTTCTACAAAAAAAGTTTAATCTGCAGATATAGCCTTGTTTAGGGATCTGTTCACCCTTAATTTACAGAGAAAAGGTCAGGGAAAAATCTGTAGATGGAAAAAAATCTCCATACAAGTTCTTTGTGCATTTTTCTTTTTTTCTACTTGTTACTTTGCACTTTTTGTTAGAAAATGTTTATTTACTATTTATTCAGGTTTTTTTAAGGTATCTAATATTTTGATACTTAATTTCCATGATCTAAATATTCTTAAAAATTAAAAGTTTGTTGTCATTTGGAAGTGTGTAGGCCTTCTTGCATTATTATGCTGTTACATTATGATTATATATTCAGTGGCATAAAATGGTCTTTAAAATGACAATAATATCGCTTATCGCAATTATTTCTGGGGCAATATATCGCACAACAAAAAGTTGTTATCGTGACAGGCCTACAGACCATACTTCTACATTTTTGTCCCCCCAGGCCTCGGACAGTCGGACTGAGTCCAGTACATAATGGGTGTTGAAACTTCCATACCTTTTGGGCAAAAGGGAATGCCACAGCCCTTTTTCTACATTTTCTATAGTCACGTAGCACCGATTTTTGAAAAAAAGAAGAAACAAAAATCGCCTTTCTACTGAATAGACAGCCAAATTTTATAAAAAGCCCATCTTGTCAGTGGTGAATTACCCCTAAGTCAATGTCTTTATAGCTACTGTCTCTGCCATCGTTTGTAATTTTCAATAGCATTCTCTTAAAAAAAGAGAATGAAGATAGACTTAAATATGAGTTTTCTAAAACGGTGCTATTTAATTTTTGGTTAACATTGTCTAATAGGTGACAAGTTATTTCAGAGCGAAACCAAGCCTCTACATTTTAATTGACTATTAAGACTTTATAATATAATGTGCACCAATGGATTTCGCATTATAATAACACCAGGAAACATTTAGATTTTTATGTTGACATTTAGAGCTAAAGCAGAATGAGCTGAGGAATCTTTAGAATATACGAATATTCATAGTGATATTGTATATATTGGCATTTGTCTATGTGTGTGTCAGTCCATGTTCTTTCTCAGGTTTATGCTTACTTTATCAACACTGTGTGAACTGCTTCAACAATCCATCTTACCTTACACACACGTGCAATCCTTGACACTATGGTGTTATCAAAGAAGTCAAACTCCTTCCCCATCTCGCTGAAGAAAAAGTAGATCTGATCATCACTTCTCTCGCTGTCTGAACCTGTAATATAAGCAGAACCAACAAACGCTGGGTCTAATGGACCACAGCACACACACACACACACAAACAAACAAACAAATATAAACACTTTCATAAAACATATTCAAAAAAACAAATTTGTATCTAGGGCTGCATGATAAATCGAAATGGAATCGAGATCGCGATTCGACAGAAGCTGCGATTATCATGCGTATCTTTCAGTGAAGCACGGTTCTGTGATCAGCAGTAAATCTCCATCCAAAGGCCAGAGGGCGCTCTCGCGCTGAAACTCCAAATACGCCTCGCAGAAGAAACCCAGAAAATGCCTATCACTGCAGCTGAATAAACAGAAGATTCAACTGCTTTCATTGATTCAACGTGACTAATAAACACACGACTACAACAATATACGTTTTATCGGAGTTCTGATTATTATAATTTTCATTAAAATAAAGTATATTTATAATGCAATGCCTTTATCACTGCTTAAATACTATGAAATATGTTGCGTGCCTTATTCTCTGTAAGAAGCCACATCATCTCACAGAAGGATTTATTTCAAACACTCGACTGACGTTATGAAGTGAGTTTGGAGTAAAAATATGTTATTAAATGTGGTATTTTCACATGCTTTCAGATGGAGCAGCATTTACTTCACAGAGCCGTAGTTCACTGAGAAGCAATGCAAACAGCTGTCATTATCGCGAACGATTTCTCTGATTTCATAATCGCGCAATAAAATCGTCGGCGATTTTTTTTGCGTAACTTGTCAGTGAACTACGGCTATGTGTAGTAAATGCTGCTCCATCTGAAAGCACGTGATGATGAGTTCCTGCTGATTACAGAACCGGCATTACTATCAAAATGCGCATGACAATCGCATTCGATTAATCGTGCAACCCTACTCAGCTCAGTGAAGAAAGTGCACAGATATTTGTAGGTGTTGTATTTCATGTCATGTTTTCATTAACCTTGATTTCTTGCAACTTGTGTGCTTTTTCTGTGTGAGTCGAGAGTGAAATGCTGCACAGAAACCAACGGCCAAAGTCAGGAATTTCATTAAATAATACATTAGTAGGGTAGGGTAGGGTAGGCGATTTCGGAGAGGCTAGCAATAGCAAGCTAGCTTTGAAAGCATAAGATCCCACCCTCCCTGCAAATCACTCTCCAAAGCCACACCTCCTCCAGAACACATAAACACGCACAGGCAGACCAGAGGCTAACCAGCGACACTACGAGAGACGGCGTTGGTGGAGGGTTAAAATGCTGTCAGATGACCTCATGCCTCATCACCGGTGAGAAAACATTACTGTACAAAGCTCATAATTTTACAATACTAACGACTTCTCGCTCGGTCTGCAATAGCGTAATGGAATGCGCTGATGACGTATCATGTCTGCGCGAACAGGGTGCAAATACATACGCTGACAGGCAGGTAGGTCAGCCTATCGTAGCCCTCGGACCGAGGGATATGATTGGACGAGCAATTTATAGTCCTATGCCTTCCATAGATGATATAAATACATTTAGACAATGATTAGACAAGGATGATCTCCTTGCAAGGGACTCTATTTGTAAAATAAGAAAGAATGAAGTACTACTTTCTTGCTAAATGAACTCTACTTATCTATGTTTTATTTACCAGTTAGTTAGTATGTAGTGCTATTTATTGTGTTGTTGTGATTACAGTCTCTGTTGTTTCAGATAAACGTTGTAGCAGGTTCTACTCTCCTCCAGAAGACAAAGAGCAGCTTGATCAGATCTGCAAAGACAATGTGTGTCGCTGCTCACAGGGTCAGTTTAGCTGGACTAACTTTGTGTTTTCAATCAACTTCTTACCTTTAACCAGTTATAAAGCAGTTATAAAGCTTTTTTCATAGGTGACTGTTGTGTGATGAAAGAAGACTCCTCGTCTTACAGTGAGGAACAGAGGAAGGCTGCAGTGTGCAATGGATTACACCATGGTGAGTGTTTCTTCTGTTAAATCAATGTGTTTTTTGGCGGAAGCAATCATGATGTCACGTCATGATCTCGTCAATAAATATGTCTTTTCTTCAGCCTACAGGGTCAAACTGATCAGCGTCAGCCAGAGTAACTACGACCAGTATGAGATGGAGATTGTGCAGGTTATCAAAGAGGGTACGTCTACTAGAGTCAGATTTTCTCACGTACCCAGCAAACTGGCTCATGGATCTCCATTTGTGTTTGTGTAGGGACAGAGGAAGGCCTGAACGGGAATGAAAAGAGGATGTTCCTCTCTCATGCAAGCTGTAGGACAGGACTTGGTTTGAGAGAGGGTCAGGACTATCTGATCATTGGGCCCATCACTGATGTTTGGCATGGAGGGAGCACGTCCAACAAGTGAGTAGTGAAATAGCACTGAAAATTTACATGTTATGGTTCGTCTTTCATAATTCGGTTGTTTTCTCTCGCAGGTATGTGTATATGTTGGGTAAGGACACATGGGTCGAGCGCTGGCCATCCGAGTCTGAATGCGGGGCTGGATCCACACTGGAGGAGAAATGCGGCGCGCTGAAGAGCTTCGAAAAGGCACTGACAGAAAGCGGCTGTCAGACTTGAGACAGATGTTGGCAAAACTGGATTTTGAGTCTACGGCATTTTCACATGCATTAAAAAAACACAACTACCAAAGATATGCTAATAGCCAGTTATTTACTGCTTCATGTGAAACTAATACCCTGAGGTCCTATTATACTGTATATCAAAAATAAAAGTGTTACAAAACAATACTATGACATATGTTGCGTGCCTTATTCTGTGTAAGAAGCCACATCATCTCACAGAAGGATTTATTTCAAACACTCGACTGACGTTATGAAGTGAGTTTGGAGTAAAAATATGTTATTAAATGTGGTATTTTCACATGCTTTCAGATGGAGCAGCATTTACTTCACAGAGCCGTAGTTCACTGAGAAGCTATGCAAACAGCTGTCATTATCGCAAACGATTTCTTCGATTTCGTAATCGCGCAATAAAATCGTCTGCGATTTTTTTGCGTAACTTGTCAGTGAACTACGGCTATGTGTAGTAAATTCTGCTCCATCTGAAAGCACGTGATGATGATTTCCTGCTGATTACAGAACCGGCTTTACTAACAAAATGCGCATGACAATCGCATTCGATTAATCGTGCAGCCCTATTTGTATCTGTTTATTTAACCTCAGTATCAGTCAATAATCATTTGTTTTCAACATGCGTGAGAAAGCAGAGTTCTGTAATCAGTGATGTTGGCATTTATTTTTAGATATTTATCTTCTAAGAAGTCCCTTGTGAGGAAGTGTGTGTTTGTATATATTTACCCTGGAGCCAGTTGAGAGAGTTCTCCGTTTTGAGAGGGGTGCCAGACCCTAGACTCCTATATATGGTGGGTTCATTTCCCTGGAAGTTACTGACAGTAGCAGTGTACAGTTCCCCATCTGTAACACAACAAAACATACAAGTGCTTATTAACAGTAAATCACCATGTTCATCAAACTTAATGATGTTTATGTATGAAGTTCAAACAAAATGATTGCATTGTTTTTGCATGAGTTTTTCTTACCCACTGTAATAGCTGTAGATCTGTATTCTGGATTAAATGGACAGCGTCCACGTCCATCCTCCATAACGTGTTCCCCCTTTTCATCTCTTTCCAGAGAAAAACTTGAAATGTTCTACAAAATTTCCAGGAAAACATGGAGAAACAGTTAGAACAAATGACACCAAACACTTAAACAAATGGGTCAATGATATGTGACCCTGGACCACAAAACCAGTCTTAAGTCGCTGGGGTATATTTGTAGCAATAGCCAAAAAAACATTGTATGGGTCAAAATTATTGATTTTTCTTTTATGCCAAAAATCATTAGGATACTACATAAAGATCATGTTCCATGAAGATATTTTGTAAATTTCCTACCGTAAATATATCAAAACTTAGTTTTTGAATAGTAATATGCATTGCTAAGAACTTCATTTGGACAACTTTAAAGGCGATTTTCTTGCACCTTCAAATTCCAGATTTTCAAATAGTTTTATTTCGGCCAAATATTGTCCTATCCTAACAAACCATACATCAATGGAAAGCTTATTTATTCAGCTTTCAGATAATGTGTAAATCTCTATTTAAAAATATTGACCCTTATGACTGGTTTTGTGGTCCAGGGTAACATATGATAAAAAAAAATGTAATTTAAATATACAATGACTTGAATGCATAATTAAATAGATTGTAATTTTTTATTATTATTTAACTGCTTATTAAAATGTTATGATAAATGCGAAATAAAAGTCATGTCTTTTAACCAACAAATGGGAAAAAAACATGATAAACTGTATCAGACAGTATGTCTACAAACCTTCATGACTGTGTGTAAAGGTCAAAAAGTCTTATAAAATATCAGATAATTTGTTTTACCTTTACTTTTATATTATTACTTTTTACCTGATTACTAAATTTTTTTCTATTCTTTATCATGGATAAACATAAATATCACTGAACATCACAAAGAGAAAAAAAAAAGTCTCACAATGTAAGCACAGCTGGGACTGAAGGCATATGTTCCACACACATACAGGTGTGTGCTGTTCAGACGCAGTAAAATCTTGATGTAGTTGAAACAATCAGTCTGAAACACATAAGCGACAGATTATAATATATTGTTTCACATTTATATTAGCAATCACCACAACACACATGTACCTGGGGGTCCTTTCCCTTAAAGATACACTCTTGCCTCTTCTTTTCTGGAGTGCTCCATGTGAGCTGCAAAAGATGCAAAACAAGGCTGAGTAACATCAAAATGAACTCCTACACACTACTACAAACATTCTTGTATACACGTACTGTTTTCTGTAGATACGTCACACTGATATTGTCCAGGCTGAGAGAGAATATGTTCTCCCTGGCTCCCACGTAGATTTTGTTTTCATCTGGGCTCAGCAGAAGGGCTGAATAGTTATACACAGCATCCACAGAGAACTCTCTCACTGATCGTCCTTCTGCATCTGAACACACACAGTCAAAAATATTACTTTAAACATGCAGCTTAAAATCACTTCATAAAAAGAACAAAAATGCACACTATCTGAAAAAGCACATTTCACATTTATACATTATATATATATATATATATATATATATAAATTCTTACAGTACATTCAAAATTCATCCTGCATTCCTCACATGGAATGCACCTTCAAAACTACAAAAACTTGGCACACAAACCAACCCTTTAAAATTACGTTGGTTTGCATGTCCAGAAGGTTTTCCTGGCAAGGCACAGAGGTCACTAACGTCAGTGTTTACTCATATAAAACTTTACAAGCCATTTTGTTCTGATTACAACCATTACATTTGCATTTTCAACCTCAAATGATTAATGAGTATGGCTGTTATTCTGATACAGTACACCAGCCAGGGTTTGCAAATGGTTCTAATAGCTCTTGTAAATGTGTACAATCAAGGATTAAACTCTCCTGTGTTTGGCTAAGATGAGTGAACGCAACATTTGGAACAGTCTCGTAATGGGTTTTTCGGGAACAAGAAACATCATGGCAGTTCAAGTAGCCCTAAAATTGAGCTAAATTATTTCAGATGAGTGGAAGTCTGAGAGAATCTGGGCCAGCAGAGCTTCTTCTACAGAATACATTGCTCATTACTGCTTTTGTGATCATAATAACACAATGTTTTTTCTTCATTTCTGGCACTACCATGAATAATACATTTCCACTACATGGTAATTTGTCCACA